CAAACAAATGGAATCACTTACAGGCACAGAGCCCTGATTAACTGCAAAAACCCCTTAAAAGGTAGTTTTACATTTTAAATGGGAACATTAATCCAACGCATGCAGAGTTAAAATATCAGAATTCAGGATTGTTGCACTCAACCACGCCGGGGTGAGTGGTTGAAAAGTCTCTTTATAGGGTGTATTAAAAACTCTGGGAATCCCACCCAAGGATCAGTCACAGTGGGCAGTGACCAACCTGGTGACCTGAACAGGTGGTGAACACAAAAGAGAAATCAACATTTATGTGTAACATCAACACCACTGAAAATTCCCAAAGTGCACGGGTTCAGCAGTAAAATAAATGACAGTGAGCTCAGCTCATTGATCTAAAAATCTGAAGGCTATTCTGTAAAAAAAACCCTGCAACCGTTGAGAGAAATGCCAATTTTTGCTTCAATTCATCACCAAAAGCATCACACTTCCCTTCCAGCCCACACATTACAGCTGCTGGCCCCATCACAGCTACTTTTGCCATCTTTCACACCCAGAAGGGCTGGACCAGTTGGGAGAGCTCACCAGGATTAAAAACTGCCGAGCATCCCTCAGGAAGATGGACCATACAAATGAGATTTCCACACAGCATTTAAGGCAAAAAATCACAATCAGATCAGACACACTCTCAGATGTTCAACACAGAGAGGGAAAAGGGACGTATCCAAAATTTATCAGCCATTTTGGGGAGGTTTAGGGGAAAGTTTGAGACATTTCAGTAGCCTGAGTGTGATGGCAGCTGGGAGGTTGCCTGAACCTTATTTTCTTATTTCTTATCAGGATTTCTTATCAGGAATCTTCCCTTAGCAAAGACAAACTCAGCTCAGCAACCACGCAGCCACCTCTGGGCTCTGCTTGCTCCTGCTGTAAATTACCTCATCCATTTGTCATATTTTTAGCACTTTTTGGGCTGGGCTGCAAGATCTGCAAGAGATGCATTTTAACCTTTGCTAGCAACCACTCAAGGACAGAAGTGGTTTATGAGGCCTCGCTGTGTAAAAAAATGTCAGTATTAAATTTCTGCAGCTCAAACCATGGAGCTATTTACTGAAGCTTTATACAAACTAATTAAATATAAGGCTCTCGTGGGACATGAGGAGAAAGAAAAGGAGAATTAAGAGATAAATCACTGGCTTTTCTTTCCTCAGCAAGTGTACAGTCCAATTTAATATATTAAACCAAAAAACACCCTGACAGTGCTCGCTCGGGCACACAGAGGCAGCATCCCAACCTCACATGGAACACACTGCACAGCATAAATTAATTATCTCTGCCTCACCACAACTTGCACAAAGGAATTGGGAGAGACAATCCAGACAAGGGGATGAGCTTGAGATATCAAAGGCTCCATATGGAGTGAGGGAATCTCACTCTGCAGCTTCACAGGGCTCCCAGGCTTTGTGAGCACATGGCACGGGGAGGTATCAAAGCAGCTCTTCCCTCCCCTGCCGGCCCTGGGTCATCCTGGCAGGAGAATTCTGACTGCTTGACATGGATTCCTGCTGGAATTTCCTCAGAAAAGGCCCTCCAAGGAGTCCCTGTCCAAGAGCAGAGAGGACAAACCATGGAACCAACGGAGGAAGGCTGGAGGTCAGTGCAGGTGTTGGGGAAAATCAGCGTGTCTGGGCACCTCTGTGGGTTAATTCCCCTCTGCAGAGTGGGTTTGGAGCTGAACCTCCAGATGTTGGAGACCATGGGGTCACTGGGCAATCCAGCACATCCTCTGGTGGTCAGTCAGAGGGTCAGAGCAAGAACTCAAGGCTGTGTCCAGCCTGGTCCCAGCCACCTCCACAGATGTACAAGCAGAGTGGACAGGTCACCAGGAAGGAGCTCCTCGTTCCCTCCACGCCCCCTGATCACTGCACGGTAACTTTGGTTAAAAAATCTTCAGTTCAGAAATTGATTTCATTCAAATGTTTATCTCACCACACGCACAAACCACAGGAAGAGCCAGCTCCAACCCAAAAGAGGCACAAAAATGGCTGTGGGGAGACAACAAATACCTACAGCTCGTCGTTACAGGAGAACAGGGTGTCACTCATCCACACCCCATCCCTGGACGTGCCCAAGGCCAGGTTGGACACTTGGAGCAGCCTGGGATGGTGGAAGGTGTCCCTGCCCATGAGATGAGCTTTAAGATCCTTCCCATCCCAAACCATTCCGTGATCCTTTGCCCTGCTGCCCCTTTTTCAATAAAAACCACCGAGCTCATTCAGCAACAGAAAATCAAAAATTTTGCCTCCTGATGATCTATTAATCAAGCCATTCTTTAAATGGTTTCTGATTAACCACTTAAGGCTATTAAATTTTTAAACAAAGCTCCATCATTCCATTAGCAATCATTTAAAGTGCTTAAGGAGGTGTTTGTGGATTAAGGGTTTTAAAGGAAGCCTCTAAACACGGCTCCCAGCGCAGAGCAAAGCACAAAAAACGCCGTAAGTTTCTAAATGCCAGCAAAAAATATCCGAGTTTTCTCATCAGAGGAGCAGATGCCACCTCACAATTCGTGTAGCACGCCAACACGTGATTCATCTCACCCCCACAGCCCCTGCTCCCCTTCCCAGCTCAGGGAAGGCATTTCAGAGTTAACATTCCCATGCTGTTCCCACAAGTGAGGGAGCAGGACGCCAAAATCATTCTGTAAGAACCTTGGTGTGCTTGGTGAGGAGGCAGCACCACCACACTTGTGGGTTTCAATGGATTCAGCACCATCTCATCCTGCCACTGGGATGGAGAGAGCTGCACGTGCCTGGAATTGGAGCTGAGAGATTCCCTAAGGAACCACAGCAGTGCCCAGCTCAGCACTCAGCTATCTGCGGGATTGTCATGAGAGAAATTTTGGGGAGTGATGTAAAGCACAAAACAAGCAAAGGTTTGCGGTGTTTTCAAAGGAGCAAAGTCTCCCTCCAAAGCTGGTACCTAAAGGCAGGGAGACAAGGATCCCCATTGTCAAAGCTGCTCCTGAAATCAGTGCTGGGCGGAAAAAGGAAAGGAAAAGCTCTAAAATAAACCAGGGGATGTAGGACAGGGTTGCTACAGGACTGTCCTGTGCATTTCTGAGCTGTCTGGTCCCTCTACACCTCCCTCCAAGGAGGGGCAGGAGATGGATCAGCACCTCCTTCCCCAGAGCCAAACTGGGAGAGGAGACAAACATCCCGAGGTGAAGGCATCCCTGCCCTCACCCCAATTCAGGAAGGAAACCCCCTTCTCCCAGCTCCTCCTGACCCCTTCACACGCTTCCGGCCTCCTTAACCTCCTGCATCTCAGACAGCAATGCTTTATAAGGCCAAAAAGCAAAAAACAAATAAAAATCCATGTGCCACTACTGCAATCCACTTTTGGGAGGACATTTCCAGGTCAATCGACAGCCCCAGAGATGAGCTGAGCTCTGGCAGCAGCAAGGAAGGCTCCTTCCCATTTTCCTGGTCTCTTCTCTGAAAAGGAAGGGAAGGATTTCTAATTCATGCAAGAGCTGAGAGGTGAGAGGATGTGCTTTGCTAATTCTAAAGCCTCCTTTCCGTGTTATTCCCAAATATTGTGACTGCGAGCTCGCATCCATCACGCACATTTTGATGGGGTAAATAATGAAAGAGCCTCCAAGCCTCTAATTTGATGCTGACTGCAATTCCCAGTTCCAAAGACAGCAAGAAAACAGGAATAGAAACTAAACCAGTAAAAGAGAAACACGCCCTTCTCCATTTCTAACTTTAAGAACCTCAATATTAAAGGGAAAAAAAATCAAAATAAACTCTCAACACAGCTCCATATTTGCTCAAATAAGCATTTTTCAACATAAGTACCCAAACTGCTTTTAGGTGCAGGGCACTGGGGTCAGGGTAGGACACGTCTTGTAGGACAAAATGTTTTAATGATTTGCAACCAACAAGCAGACCCTCCTCCCCAGCAGGAAAAATAACTGAGCACCTAATTGCAAAACAATATCTTAATTGTCAATTTGAATCTAGGTTTCCTACTCAGATTTAAATCTGGCTTTCTTTTTTTTTTTTCAAATTGCATTGATTTAACTCAATCAGCCCTGCCCGAAGGCCATCTTTCCTGCATGCTCTGAGCATACCAAGCAAGTTTCAACCAATTAGATAAATCACTGAATCTCAGAACTTCCTAGCAGCGACGTATCAAGCCATGCACAAGCCCTAATTATCCTTTTAAATACGTCTTATCCCGAAAACTTCACAAAAATAAGCAGCTCAGGGGGTAATTCCACCCTTTTTTTTTTTTTAACCTAGGGCACATGATGGCCAGCTGAATTCTGCAGGAGACCTGCATGGTCATTGCAAAGCCCACTGTTTAAATCTGTATATTATTCCCTGTGCTGATGGGAATAACGCTGCTGCACGAGTTTTATTCATTTATTCATTTTTCACTCTGTGTGTGTGTGTGTACACCCACACCCACACTGCAGCCTCGAGGTGTTACACTCCAGCACGGCAAGGAAAAGCAGGGAATTATGATGGACTCACCCCGAGGAAAATCCTGAATAATGGAAGTTTCTAGCACAAACAGCTTCCCAGGGACCCTGGAGCACAGTCCCCCATCAGCAGCAGTGGAAATATGCTCCTGTGACACTGCACAGATTGTTCAAAGATTCCCATGACAGGCAGAGGATTAAAAAGCAATTCCCTGCCTCTCATATTTCACATGCAAAGCCGTCTCTGGGAACGGCAGGCAGGAAAAGATGGATCTCCCCGAACTCAAAAATGTGGGTATTCCATAAAAAACCCCTCGCTGTGGTACCCTAAAAACAGCAGCACCAAAGCAGGAACTGCCCCATGGGGACGGACACAGCACTGCAAACCCGACCCAGCTTTGTATTCCCAAAAAAAACCCTGCAAATTCCAGGCAATCTGCAAATGATTTCCCTCTTCCCCACCCAAACATCCACTGTAAACTCCTACAATCGCCAGGCAGGCTTGCAGTGAAGGGATGGAAATAAAACCGTTCCTTACCTTTCACTTGAGTGTCATATTCAGCTATGATCTCCTTATCCTTTTTGAATTTTGCTGGCGACGTCATGTTTTCTTTTCCAAAAAGCTGAATAACCTCGAAAGAGATCCACCAGAACACGAGACAGAAAGGGAATTTTCGCTCCTCTCAGCACGATGCCTTGGCTTTCTGCTCGTCCTTCCCTCCCCCCCCCGCAAAAAGGGAAAAAAATCAAAAAATCAGTCCATGGAGAGAGGGTGTGAGAGGGAGCACAGCAGCAGGAAAATGCAGATGTTGAGATCAGCGGATGGAAGAGGCAGCAGTTTTGTCTCCCTGCACCAAATCCTTGAGCAGCAGCATCAGCCTGGCGAGATCCTGCAGCCCCAAAGGCTCTTCCTGATCCTCAATAGCACAGCCAGGGAGTGGAAGTCCTTCCGCACATGTTTTGTGTGGGTTTGGTTTGCCCTTTTTTTATTTTTTTTTTCCTCTCTTCTCCTCTTTTTTTTTTTTTTTATTTATTTCTTTTAATGGGCTCAGAGATGATGCAAATCAAATCCCAAACGAGAGCAGCAGCAGAGGAGAAGCAGCTTTGGTTTGCTTGCCTGCAAATACAAAAAAATAACAATAATATATATATATTTAGAAAATTACTGCTCGCAGCCCAAATTTGTGACGGGAAGCAAAGCTGCCCTGACACCCTGACATTGCAAATCGTCCTTTGAGCAGAGCAGTGTAAGGTTGAAACTGCAGCCCGGCCAGGTGACCAGGGAACACGCCTACAACGGGGACCCGCGATGGCTGGGGCACAGCGGCTCCCTGGGGACATCCCGGGGACATTTGGGGTGCAGCTCCCGGGGAACCGGGGGGGAATTGGGGAGCGACTCCCGGGGGGTGATTTGGGGTGCGGCTCCCGGTGGAATAGGGGATGGTTTGGGGAGCAGGGATCTTTTGGGATGCGGCTCCGGTGGGAGCTGGGGTTGATGTGGGGTGCAGGGCCCGGGGGAGAATTTGGGGCTCATTTGGGGTGCAGGTCCCAGGGCAAAATTTGGGGTTCAGGTCCTGGGGGAGAATTTGGGGTTGATTTAGGATGCAGATCTCAGGAGAGAATTTGGGGCTCAGGTCCCGGGGGAGAAGTTGGGGTTGATGTGGGGTTCAGATCCCGGGAGAGAATTTGGGGTTCATTTGCGGTGCACGTCCCAGAAGAGAATTTGGGGAGCGGCTCCCGGTGGAATGGGGCTCCTTTGGGATGCGGCTCTGGTGGGAGCTAGGGTTCATTTGGGGTGCAGGTCCCGGGAGAGAATATGGGGTTGATTTGGGGCGCAGATCCCGGGAGAGAATTTGGGGTTCAGGTCCCGGGGGAGAATTTGGGGAGCGGCTGCCGGGGGTCACGGGGCCGTTCGGGGAGCGGCTCCCGGGGCCGTGGGGGGTCCCGGGGGTGGGGGCTCCCGGGGCCCCGCAGCATCCCCGCCGAGCGCGGGCTCGGCCCCGCCGGCAGCCCCGGGCACACCGGGCGCGCCCCCGCCGGGCGGCTCCGCCCGCAGCTTCTCCCTTCTCGGCTTTTTTTCTGGGGGGTGATTTAGGGTTTCTTCCAGCGCCCGCTGCGCTGGGCAGGGCGGGACACAACTTTTCCCCCGGCTTTTCTTTTCCATTTGGATTTCTTCCCTCTTTTTTTTGGGAAGGGGGAGGAGGGAGGGCGCGCTGCCGCAGCCCCCGCGGGAGATGCGCGTACGGGAGGAAGAAATAAATAAACACGGCACCCGCCGGATCCGCATCCCGCCCGGGAAGAACAATGCGGGCGGCGGGGAGAGGAAGCGTGGGGGGGTCCCG